AGAAATCAAAGGAAATAATAATAATAATAATAATAATAATAATAATAATAATAATAATAATAATAATGTATAGCTGGTCACTCGTATTCAAGGATACGCGTCTACTAGGGCGGCTAGCCAACCCCTGTTGCAGACGTTTGCTCAGGCGCATTTTTGTTTATTCAACACCCATAGAGCCTACCTTTTGTTTATACTTCATCTTTGCTGAGCAGACATTAGTTACAGTTTCTGGGAAAGAGCGTGATCAACTATTTGAACAAGGCCAGCACGCTCAAACCCTCGTCCACGATGACTTGTGACTTCGTGCTAGCACAGCTATCGACGGTAGCCAATTTCACTCTCAATGCTTGGGTCAACCTGTGGTATGGTTTTCAGGCACTTTCCAAAAGTGCCGCACGCTGGCATCGACCCCTCCAGTCCGATAACATCAGGAAGTTTCCTTCCTGAGAAATCGAACATGGTGAGTTTCGAACCCGGGTCTCATGACCAGAATACGAACATTCTAACCACTCGGTCACGTGCCCGGAATAATAATAATAATAATAATAATTGACTAAATAATGTTAAAGATACAAAATAGCTACGGATTTGAACTTTGGGATGTCAAAATCAAGCAAGTGCAAAAATGTAAATATCTTGGAAGAATTTTAACAGATGACGAAGACTGTGACACCGAAATCCAAAAGTGCATTGCAATTACGAATGATTCCTTCAAGAAGTTTGGCAGAGAAAGATTTCGTTAGGAAGACAAAAGAGACTCCAAATGCTATGCAATATCAGTTCTCCGTTATGGCAGTGAATACTGAACAGTGTCCTCAAAACCGAAGGGGAAACTTGAGGCAACGGTGATGTGTTTCTACAGAAGGATACTGAGAATGCCTTGGACGGAGTATATGAGTAACGAGGAGGTTTTAAGAACAATTGAAACAAAAAGAACATGCGTGCTTCAAATGAAAAAAAAATGGAAACTGACATTTAATCTAAGAGGGTAGACTGTTCTTCATTCCGTTGATCATATATAGGGATATCGGGTAGTTCTTATTTTATTTAGGACTGTTTAGTTATTGCTCACCATTTCTAGGCCATATAATGAGGTAAGAAAATTCTGGATGTTTGGTCCAGAAAATGAATGAAGATATTTTTACGTCCTCTACTGCCCGAGTTATTTCATATATAATGCCAAATGTAAAGCAAACAAAAACAACAAAACCAAAAACGTAAAAGAATATCTAAAAACAAAAACTGGACAAACTCACGGAAAATATGGAAGTCAAGAGCGATGGATATAAACGAGTAGCATATCTAAGGAGCGTGTGTAAATGGATGGCAGAACAGAGAGGATTAGTGACAAAAGTAACATCGCTAAGCGCTAAAGAAGTTAGAAAATAGGTGTGCTATGATCGTCCATGTACTAAAGGGAATCGCAGTTAGAAATACTAGCTAAGAATCTGTCATTACATGTGCATAATCATATGACGCGGTCGTGTCCTTTTCAACATGAAAACGGCACAAATAACTGGCCAGCACAATACGAAGAAAAAGTAATATTGACTTGCTTTAGTTGCGAGCCAGTTGTGAGCTTATGGCAAAAGGTCGGAATTAACATTCGAGACAATAAGCCTGCAAACAAGAATTCTCTCAAAATAATATTGTAGAATATTGGAAAAGACTCCTGTTTTAAGAAATAAGAAAAACGAATCTCATTTCTTCGATACCCCGAAGCTATAAAGCCGCATCTAAAACATTATTAGAGTTTATTCTATCATTTGCCGATTTTGTTTCAATTTGGAATACTTGCTGTTAAATATGGCAGATAACTGGCGAAGCCTCCACTATTTATGGCGATATATTTTTTAACAAATTGCCAGTGTATTTGTGCGTTTAAATCACTCAAGTTTTATATAAAATAAAACAAAAATACTTTCATCTCTTTGTTGTTTTAATCATTTCACCTCAATCAAGGCAATAAAGCCACTAAGACGCAAGGGAAAAAGAAAAACATTAAAGAGGGACAACAATAAAAGAGAAGGAATCAAGAAAACGGCACATAACGGTTGATTTTGCAGGTAAGTTTTTGAAGATCAAACTTGGCTAGAAAGCAAGAGGTGGAGAGAGAGTTCCACATGCGAGAAGTGTGAGAGAAAAAAACTGTTAGTATAGAAATTACGATAAAATCTAGCCAATTCAAATGTAAATTGCTAAAACCTTATTGCCAATCTAGTACTGAGCATAAATTCCGAAAATCTAGTTACCATAGAAGAAAGCAATATTTATTTTGTTATAATACAAAAATGTGGCTAAATTTCAAAAGTGAGGATAGGCGAGGGCTGGTCTTCAGTTTGTCTTATCTTAAATTTAGCTAGCCACGATTACTGACGCAAAAATACCACAGTATTCCTTAAACCAAAACAACACATTCTTACTGCAACCACCATAATACCTCAAAGTCTCTGTAGTTTACCACAGAGGAAAGCTTATTAGAAAGATTACCATACAATTATTTATAGAAAAGAAAAACGAACGAGAAATGACGGCTGTGGGAAAGTGACTAAAGCCGAGATGCCAGGTCAGGATCAATAACATATCTTATATATCTGTTGTAGCATACCTACGGACGATAATAGATATGTCTCCATTCACATAAATACAGTAGTAAATACTGTATGTTGGTCTGCAATTAGAGATTCGTCTCCAGCTGTGCTGGTGAAAGGCTCTGCCTTCGAGAAGAGAGGATCCCCAGACGATGCTATGTCGAATGGCTGATTCTCGTCTCCGGAATCAGCTACGCGACTCCGTTTTCTAAGGGTCTACGGGGAATTTTTGTCCGGGTCTATGGGCTCGGATACCCTACATTAAATTCGGCCTTGTGCCACATCTGGCCGCGTGGGGCGGTTGGTAGGTATCCTGCAGTTGGGGATTCGTCACCAGTTGTGCTGGTCAAACTCTCTGCCCCAGGACAGAAAGGATCCTCATACGAAGCCATGTCGAAGAGAAGAGTCTCGTCTCGGGAAACAGCTACCTGACCACGTTTTATACGGGGTCTACGGAGAATTTTTGGCCGAGCCTATGGGCTTGTATGGCCCATATTAAATTCGGCTTTGTGCCAGATCTGACCGCATGGGGCGGTTGAAAGATATTCTGCAGTTGGAGATTCATTGTGGAATTCACTTAACTCACTTCTGGCAGTTGACTACATCTACGCGTCGATGGCGAATCTTATATGTGTTGTTCTTGTCCTAAGTATTATTTTTTATTACTAACCTTCATGTGATTATTCTGTTCAGTAACCTTCACTAGGTTACAAAATTATCTATGTCTACCATTCATCTATACTTATAATATTGCTGCCATATATGGTTCGGTGATCCTGCTATATATTTAGAGATCACTGATAAAATCCAAAGACGAATATTACTGGTCCTGATCGGTCGGCTCAACGACAGTCTATTTCTACTGATGTAAAGTTACCTCTACTACACTGGCTATGAGGTCTCATCAATTTACAGTTGAGTTGACTAGATGTAACCGTAAGTTTTATGTTCACAGTTTCATTTCTTGAACTTCTCGCTTGTGGAACTCTCTTTCGGTTCCATGCTTTCCACTCAACTTTAACCTACAAAAATTTAAATATAATGTCAATCGTTATTTAATGTATTCCTCATTGCACTTCTATTGTTCTTGCTCCTTCATAATGTTTCTGTTTTGAATTCTTCCACAATCAGTAATCTCGCGTGTCTCGGTAGCTTGCTTGGGGTGAATTAGTGTTATACCTGACGTACCTATTCTATTATTAATAGACTCTCCCACACATAATAAGTAGTAGTAGTAGTAGTAGTAGCGGTCGCCAGTTCGGCTCAGTGGTGTTGAGCGAGTCAGTCGATGTCAGACATTGGAGTATCATCCATCACAACTAGATTTGCTGCGTCATTAACTCTTATTTCAAGTTCCTAACGTTTTGTACGTCGAACCTAATTTAGAACGACTTATTGAAATACAAGCCTCCACTGTGAAAACTACTCTACAACAATTAGATCATAAAAAATATTGCGCAAAAATATATTATCCATTGCTAATGATTAAATCCTCCTCTTTTTTTAATGTTAAATCAATCTCACGTCACAAGTACTTTAACACCCGTCTCTAGAATTATGATGCCAAAATTAACACCTCAAGAAGAATGTTTATTCTAAAATCATAATCAAAAGAACATTGCTTGATATTCTTTCAGCTCAAGCAAGGTGATAATGCCACTAAGACGCAAGGGGTTACAGGGAGTGGAAGAAAATTATAAAACATTGGTTAGGAGTAAGAACAATAAAAATAGTCTTCAGAAAGACAGAAGATGAAGATTGACGTTGAATTTAAATCTTTAAAGATTGTAAGTCGCAGGGAAGCAAGAGACCGGAAGTGAGTTCAACGGAAAAAAGGTGCGAGAATAAAATTTACAGTTACAACTATTTCAACAGTAAAACAATTAACTCTTATTTCAAGTTCCTAACGTTTTGCACGTCGAACCTAATTTAGGATGACTTAGTGAAATACAAGCCTCCACTGTGAAAACTACTCTACAACAATATGGCAGTTGTATTAATTGCAATGAAGTCTTGTAAATTTATAAATGTGCAAGATGGATTTTGGCGAAAAGAAATTTTCGGGTACGCGACAGTGAACTAACCTACTTAACAGCAGCCCTAACAATTGATTCAAAATAATTGATCCACTTCATGTCAGTAGAAAACACGAGATCAAGAAAGGGCAATGAATTGCGCTCCTGGTGGTTAGCATCAGTCATGCTGATGGAGAGCATATATGTTTCTCTATGATGATTAAATGGAAACGGTAAGATTTACAAGACATTTATTGCTCTGTTTGTTATTATTCGTTTCAAGAAGAATATATGATAGCAAAATAATTACTGAAGAAGAATTATACGAAAAGCTTTTTTCTCAAGAACATGTTTGAACATTTTGTGATTAGGGTAAAATGAATCTCTAATAAGATTAAGAAAGGCTTCGTTCCAAATATGGAACTAAAAAAAAAGAGTCATTGGATAGAAAATTAAACTGTAAAGCAGAGAATCAAGCAATGATTAATTCCCACTGTCATAGTTTTGTACAGGCTACAATACATTCCCCAAACTATTCTTATGCAAGGTTATTTAGTCAAATTTTGTTAAATGCACTGGCCAGAGAATTTTCAGCACTCCGCTCATATATATATATATATATATATATATATATATATATATATATATATATATATATATATATATATATGGGTGTGTGTGAGTGTGAGGTGTTCTTATATGAAAATACGAAAAATTATTTATGCGCACTTCTAATGTTCACACGCAGGTACTAGCACGCAGATGTACAGAATGATATATATATATATATATATATATATATATATATATATATATATATAGAAAGAGAGAGAGAGAGGGAGGGGGGGACAAACTGAAATATAGTGATGCATACGAACCGACAGAGACAAGCAGCTAGGTTTGATAGATAGAAAGAAACTGAAATATATTTATGCTTATGGACATATATATATATATATATATATATATATATATATATATATATATATATATAGACAGATAGAGATAGATAGATAGATAGATAGATAGATAGATAGATAGAGATAGATAGATAGATAGATAGATAGATAGATAGGAACAAATTAAAATATACTGATGCTTATGAACAGAATGAGATAGATATATAGATAGGAACAAACTACAATATAATGATGCAGATAGATAGATAGATAGATAGATAGATAGATAGATAGATAGATAGATAGATAGATAAAAATGACTGAGATATATAAGAATACCTATGAAAGAGATAGAAGAGAAATAAACAGATTGAGATAGATAGATAGATAGATAGATAGATAGATAGATAGATAGATAATGAACAGACTGGGATAGATAGATAGATAGATAGATAGATAGATAGATAGATAGATAGATAGATAGATAGATCCTTCACTCTTATACAATATCCCTTTAAAATGGCCTTGCCTTCAGATAAACTAATGACACATGTTTGAATATTTGTTCTTGTGTCAGGCTTCCTTTCTAGACGTCTGTGATCGATCTGTGACTCGACTCGTATTGATTCATGCATCCTTATCGGCGTCCGATGTGGCCAGTCTACAGCCGAAAATTCAGTGCATTCACGCACTTTTAAAATCTTTAATGACGGAAGTGTATGAATTCTTATAAACATTGCCACCAACTCGACAACTTCGGCTTGAGGAATTAAATGATGAAAGCATAGCATAGTGGAAATATTGACAGCGATTTTAACATTAATCTCGTCTTTTGCATGAACAGGGATAGATTTTGAAGAAATCACAAAAACGTAACGATATTCGTAACGGTTAAATATTTTTTTTATTAAATTACGAGAGGTTGTAGAAAAATTCTCGTGTTGAGCCACTTCTCAAAATTTGATCAAAGGAACACACAGTACTTCCCTGACGGATAAAGATATCTTTAAGAAGGTATTATCATTTTATGTTCGATCTTGCTTTTTCGGATACTAATTTGCTTATAAACTGGTCCACGCACACAGCTATTTACTAATTTCAAATCCTGAATTTTATGTTCGATCCAGGTTAGGTGACATCTTTGCTTTATGCCTTGAACATTCAAGGTTGTATTTATAAAGAAAGATATTATTAATTACACTATTTACTGTATATTCGGATTAATGTCATCATCTTTGTTGTTTTTATCATAACGTTTCGGCTGTTGTACCCTCCGACCTTCCGCAGGTGTATATCGATCTGGGTAACTTGCAGGGAATTCTGAAGTGAGCCATTTTATCTACGGGGGTAGACTGTTCTTCATTCCGCTGCTCATATATAGGGATATAGGTTAGTTCTTATTTTATTTAGTACTGTTCAGTTATTGCTCACCAGTTCCTACTAAATGCAAGTACACACTGCTCGAACCAGGGATTGAACTCACAGCCACTATTTCACCAAATCCACAAATCAACGCTTTTATCCACTATGCTATTAAACCTGAGGAAGGCCAGAGAGCACAACGGCTGAAATTTGTGATAACAACAACAATAGCCCGAAAATTGATAGTGTAAATAATGATAACTCCTCAACCCAGAAATTCAGACAAAAATTACGAAGGAGATTATGTCTAAAAAATATTTGTTGCGAAATAATTTTAAAATATTCTTCTCTTCTTTATGTACCGTGTCCCCTCATAGCGTAGGCGATTATGGCTCTCCACAACTTCCTGCCCTTCGTAGCTCTTAATAAATTTTGTCTTTTTATTATATCTCCTAAACCTTGTTCTGTTATCCAGCTACTCAAGCTCACTATCTCATGTGTTGTTTTCCTCTGTCCCTCTTGCTTTCAATCTGTCTTCTGAGTATCACATTTTCCAAGCCATCTTTCCTCATTATGTGCCCTAGAAATTTCAACTGATGTTAGATAGACGTTACTTTTTGTTTTCATTTTCTCTAGACTTCGTCGTTGCTCACAATTCCAGCTCATGGTATCCTAAACATCCTTCTGTAGAGCCATATTTTTGTTGCTTCAGGTCTCTTTTTCATCTTTGAGCAGATTGTCCGGAATTCACTGCCATATAGGAGAACAGATATCACGTAACAGTTCAGTACTCTTTTCGTTGCTTCTAACGATTAAACGTGACAATATTTGGAATACAGATAGGTCAGTATAACTCTTGATGTTTATTGGAGCTATCCATAGACTTAATTCTTATGTTATTCATGGAAACAAAGTTCTCTTCTCACCTAGAATATGGCACGCGACTTGAACACTTATGTTGAAACTTTATATTGTACTCTTCATACTACTTTCTATAATCCATATCTAAATGTCAGTTTAAACAGAAATCTTTTTTCCGAAATAGTGTAACCAGTTAGCTTAAATTTCTTGATTTCAGATGGAAACCTGGACATTTCCTAGCATATTTTGTTCCGAAATTATGGTGCATAATTAGAGTTCAGAAATTCAAAACTAACTGTCAATTTAAATTGATCTCAGGTGAATATGGGTTTAACTGAAGCCTACCTTTTGTATATATTGTGATCATTTTTCTCAATGTTCGAATTTTCTTGCTTTCAGATGAAATTAGAGTCTATAATTATAGCTTAGATATCTATATATAAAATTCTGTGACTTCTGTTAGTCCGTCACACCCTCTAAAATAGCCATACATTGAACGATCAAAACCAAATTTGGGGGAGAAGTGCAAACACGTAAGGGGGTACAAAGTACAACTGGTTTTACTAAGTTGCGTAACTTAGAACAATAAATTTTCATTAGTATTTTTTTAAACTAGAAGTTTTATTATTTAACATACAAAATACTTCCACTATTTAAAAGCAATTTAACCATTAAAATAACAAATACTTATTTAATAAAAGAAATGTAATATTGTTTTGACATATCATTCTTTTTTCTTTTTTTTTTTTTTGAGTTTTTATATATACAAGAATCCAATTTCCAGTTCGCTCTGCGTTTGCGAGATCTATAAACAAACAACAAGGCCAATCGCTTCAGAATGTTGGAATTTGGCTCCAGAAAGAAATATTTATGCATGGCCAGTTGTATGTTGCATGCTGAAGAGTAAGAAATTCTGAGAATTTATTCTTCGCTGTTAAAAAATAAAAAATAGAAATTTTCTTGAAAAATATTGTTTACTATTAATTCCTATAAAATTAACGTATTAAGCCGCAAAGTAGGGATTTTGTCAAAGTATTTTCCAAAAAATCAGCTTATTCAAATTTCAGCGATTGATTTGCGAAATTGAACGAAAAGTCGAGTTTGTGAATCTCGACAAAAAAATGTTAGCGATAAATTCAACAATACTAAATATTGTGAGGATTTCAAGGCGGGTCAGCTTGTTGAAAAAAAAAAATCTAGTAAAGAAAATTATTTTAATAAAAGAAATCTTGTTAGGAATTACAACAAATGTTGTGGTTGGGAAGCAAACGTTTTATCCACTCAGCGGTAAGCGGAGTGTGTCGGTTATCAACGCGGGAAGTGGAATCGGTATACCGAGTTCAAATTCCTACCCAGGTAGCCTCATTGATTTTCATACAAATGATCTTGAGAAAATGATAAATACAGTTATTCTCTTCCGGTTGTGGGCTAAAGAGCACATCAAAGTAGAGTGTTCGGTCAAGGAAAATGAAAACTCTGAAGAGAGCATTTTGAGACTTCGTAGCCCTCTGTGCACGATTTCGTTTTTAACAATTCTTTCCCTTTGTTCTACACAAGCCTTAACTATTATAAGCAAATCAGTTCTAAAAATGGGACCTTTCGGCTTTAATACGTCGAGATCAACAGAAGAATGCACCACACACACGCACGCACATACACACAGACACACATATGTAAATAAGTACAGAGGGTTTTACTAGGGTGCGTAAAAAACATCCAAGTAGGGTTTTTATCAAAGTATTTTTCCAAACTAATCAGCTTATTCAGATTTCATCGATTGCTTTGTAAAATTCGACAAAAAATGTTAGCCATAACTTCAACAATACTAAATACTGTGAGGATTTCAGCACACTGACGCGTGTTGTAAAAAAAAAATCTAGTTTGGAAAAAAAAGGAAGGTGTTATTTTAAACTGACGCCAACAAGATATGGTTTAAAGTTCGGAGGGTAGTAGACATTTGAAAGTTGTGATAGATTACAACGAGATGGTTAAATAAAACGTCCTAGACAGAAATGAATAATGTTTATTCGTAATAAATCCTGAATGTTTTACGATGAACACATGTTTACAAGATAGCAGAATGTACAACCTGACAGAAATGCGGCAGTAATCGTAAAATTCTAAAATGTAAAAGAAGAAGAAAAAGTAAAAAACAACTCAGAAGATCGATGCTTTGTCGCACAGTCTGAAGAACCGCGCTATTTGACTTCATATTAAAAGTCGTTTTCATGGCTTGTTTTCAGCGAAATATTTTCACATCTGCTATACGACGTCCTCTTACTTGTATCTAAGACCGGAGAATTCTGGCTATTTTCATAAGAGTTTTAATCTCCATACAATATGTTTTCCACGCACCTGATAACAGATATTTTCTTTCGCCCGCAGGTTGTAGAAAAATGGACACTTAGTGACCAACTGTGTGATGCTTGGGTGGCGGCAGATGTTATGTCGTGTACGGCGTCTATCCTCAACCTGACAGCCATTAGCGTTGACAGGTAAGATATTCTCTGGGATTTTTTTTTTTCGTATTACTTTTTATTTATTTATTTCTCTGTTAAGAAGCGGCTATATGTAATGAAATAACATATGATGGAAAGTGTAGCACAAAAATTTGAATGCACATCGGAATAGTAAAATAATGTTTGCAAAAAGCGAAGTAGCGAATGGCCAAAAAATAACTTCAGAAAAGAACAACAAATAATGGTGGATTGCATTGTGATGCCTATCCTTAACTATGGCGAATTTGTAAGAACTCAGTCGTAATTTGATCTAGCTAGACAAGCTTACTAACTATTATACCACTTCGAAATTCCCGGTATTTTTTAAAGCGTTGCTTAGAACAGGGGGTTTCAAACTTTTTGACTTGCGGACCCCTTTATATTCCAGGCTTTACCTTAGGGACCCCCTTATAAACGCTTATGAAATTTATACATAAATATTTGCTGAATATAACATATAATTTTGCATTAATGCAATAAAAGCTGGATTAAAGCTTACTTTAGACATTAGTGTTCAAATAAATTAATGCTGCATGTTGCTGCAAAATGTAACAAAATTAAATTTTGTTATATTAAAATATTAATTTTACATGTAAATGAAAACAGTAATAGTATTTAACAAATACTTTTATTGTCAATTACACACACAGGATTTTTTAATAAACACTTAGTGAGAAGAATGTGTTTGCTTGGCTTTGCACAAACTGTCAATTCTTGGCGATATTACTGATAAACATACACGTAAGTCACTTTCTGGAGCAAGTCTGGATCTGTATTTGTTTTTCAAATTGGTTAGTGCCGAAAATCCTGCTTCGCATAAATATGTTGTTGCAAACGGTAACAAAATCTTAACTGCCTTTCAAGATAACAATGGATATTCGGAGGCTACAGTGAGCCAGAATTTCAAAAGTTGT